AAAAAAAATGGTGGAACCCCCCGCCGAATGTTCAAGGGTTGTACAAGAGCGGCAATATGGTGGACAATATGGGAAGGAATCAAAGAATTTTTTCTGACAAGGAAAGGAGCAGAGAAGCAATCATGGAAATCATCACGTTCCAGTCATGGAATAAATGAAATAAATCAAAAAATGGATTTTTGTTCAAGAATGAAATCTTATTGGAACTGTCCATATCCGGTTCATCCTCCAGAACCATATTACATCCTGGATCTGATGAAATATGATGAATTGAGACAGTATTTTGTAAATACGTAATTATCTTGAACATATACCCCATTTCTTTATTTTCCCATCGCCTGGCCATGAACCTCCTTTTCTTTGGGTTTTGGATTCACTCAACTCTTCTAATTTCGATCCGAAGCGAAGAACGAAAAAAAAAAACAAAAATAGACGTTGGAAACTCGAAATCCAATTATCAAAAATTTCGTTGGAATCGAACCAATAATCAATAGAGTAAATATAATAATAAGAGTTTTCAATTGGGTTAAATCCTTGAGAAGCTTTGATGACATTCCCACAAAAGACTTGCTTAGAAAGTGGAAGGAGGTGGCTGATTCTTCTCTTCCAAGAACTGTTATTAGGCCGGTTTGGGCCCCACCTCCTAGTGGGTTTTTTAAACTGAATTTTGACGGTAGTAGTGAGGGGAATCCAGGCCCTTCAGGTATTGGAGGTGTTTTTCGGAATGAGGAGGGATGAGTTATTGCCCTTTACTTGGGACCAATAAGTGTGGGAGATGCCTTGGGGGCAGAAATCCTGGCTGTGATATGGAAGAGATCCGAAAAGCAAAGGAGCTGAATACAAGAAAGTTGATCATAGAAGGGGATTCCAAGTTGTTTGTTAGCTGGCTGCAGAAAGACGAGACTGGATGGTGGAAATTTGTTAATGAAAGGAGGAAGTTTAAGTTTTTAACTCAGGATATAGAGATCAAGTTGCAGTGGGTTAAAATGAGTGCAAATGCTTTTTCTGATGTTTTGCCAAAGCAAGGGGTGGAAAGGGATCAACTTTTCTGGGCTGTTCTGTAATTGCTGCCCGCTATTGTCATCTTGGAGAGAGTTAAGAGAGTTTATCTCTCTCCCGGATGTTCTCTTGTATCTTTTTCATTATTAATGAAATTTCTGGTAATTGATCAAAACACACACACACACACTATATTCAGCTCAGCAACAAGCTTAATTAACACTAGAATCTCTGACAAGGCCCGAAAGGATCTACCAAACTCATCTCTGACAGCCCAGCTCTTCTAACATTTTCAAAAATCCTCCAATTCCTCTCTATCCAAAAAAAAAAACTTTGCTCTTGTTTCCTTGATTGGATGGCCATAAAGAAAATTTTTCATTGGACTGTCAAGGCTACCAAGTTCTAGTGTTGAAAAGAAATAAGAAAAAAAACCATAAGAATCTTGGAAAACTGCATGAAATTAATAAATGCTGCACATCTTAGGCCCATGAATCCTAAACCACCCCTTAAACCTATCCCCATCCTTCCTAGGCCCAAATCCTAGCTTTAAACCTTATTGTCACCTTAATTCTTTTCCATTATTTTTACAACAGTTCCCTATTTTCGGCACCCACCAAAGCGTGTATAAAGGTAAGCTATCCATCCTGCACCACATATGAAATAATATGGAGCACAGACACAAACAAACCAACAAAAGACAACTAATATTAAACAGATACAGTTAACTAACCTGATCAACAACATTCCCATGGGTATCTTGCATAAGCGGGCGATAATCTCCAAGGAAAAACTGTAGGGGAAATGAAAAAATATCAATAGAAAATTGAACAAACTGAATACACTGCTAAAAATAATATGTAGATCAACTTGAGAAATTATTATACCTGATCATATTTGGCATCTTTCTGGGACTCCCCTTGTCCAGTGTTTAATATGTGTATTTGACCAACTTCATCCGAAAGTATAATTGATGTCCCATCCCTACAGTAAGAGAAAAAAGCATTTCAAATACAAGTCTAAAACCTACATAGCACCATAAAGAACTATGAACAGTCATCGAGACCTGGTAAAAGGTCAAAGTTGAATTCCAAAGGTGCTAGCTCAAACTAAAAAAAATGTAGAAAGAACCTACTGCCCCCTATATCATTAACCTAGCACCAAAGTTTAAGGCTAAAGTTGCTTTGATCAAGCTTGTTATGTGCATTTGGATCCACCTAAAACATGAATGCCTCTAAAATAGAGCAAAATCGATTGCTACCTGATTGACACAATATTACTTCAAAGGTTCTTCCAACTTCATGCCCAAGTCTTTTAGAAGAATCTTAGCCACTGTAATTCAGCTACTTCATGAGCCATAGCCCCGTACTCTACCGCAACACAAGACCTAGACAAAACTACTTGCTTCTTGCTTCTCCAGGATATCAAACTCCCTCTTACAAGGTACAGTATTCCAATGTAGAACTATGATCCTTAGAGCCAGCCCAATCTGCAGCTTTAAAGGCTTCCACTTTCAGATGTCCATGTTTAGCATAAAGAATCCCACAACCTGGTAATACTTTGGCTAGAATCCTCTACAACAACAAGATGGGAGCATAGCTGATGCAAACACTGGTTGATAACACTTACCAGCGTTTGCATTGTTCATATCAATGAAAGTATCTGTCAGCTTCACTCCCAAATTTTCTGATCTCTTTCAAGAGATCTAGGACATACTTCCACTACTGTGATACAAAGATCCATTTCTTGGATCTTGCAACATTGATACTTCCACTTCAACAACACAGAGCCCTTATCTCAAACTCAATGGCAAGGAATCCTTTCAAATCCATGATCTCTGCATTTTATTATAACGATGATATCATCCACATATGCAAGCAACACTTTTAAGGAGTTCTCTCCTTCGATAAAGAAAGTACGATCTGCCTAAGAATAAAAGTACCCCTCTTTTTCAGAGTAGGCTAGAATCCATATCTAGTGTCATAGCCTCACTCCACTGACAACTAGCCATTGCCTCTACAACATTTTTAATCCACATAGAAGATGTAGAAGATAAAAAGGCTCTATATGAAGTTGACAACTTGACAATTTCTCTTCCCTTTGAGTAGTGCAATAGGAACATCAAAGTCATCAAATACGAGCAGGAACAGGAGGATGCCTGGGATTGGTTCCAACGAATCTGTTGGTCAAGAACAATCAACAATATTAGAATCCACTTTGCACCTCTTGTGCACCTGCAACTCCTTTGGCTTCTTCAGAATAAAGGCAACCTGAAGAACGACATCACCAAAGATAGGTATGGAAAAAGGAAAAGGCCTTTCTTTTATAAGCAAATGCCTTAATTTATGCAAATATGGGACTCCATTGAGCTGACAAGCCAAGACATGACCAAAAGACTTCGCCTTTAACTTTGCAATATTTTTCCTTACCCATAATATAGCCTAACTTCCCTTTTCAACAAATACACAATTTGACTGATCGAGACCATTCCACAAAGTCCCATTCAGTCTTGTGATGGTTAATTGTATGCTAGGGTTGCCATGACCAGTTTTCATTCTGATACTTTAACCCCACTACCACTTCCAAAAGAAGCTATCAAGCCAAACAAGTGTTGTAGGAATGATATCAACCACCTTTTGATCATTCCCAATCCCAACAACCAAACACAGCCAAAAAAGACCTCCCAAAACAGCTGCCACTCTTATGAATTCCAAGAGCACAGATTCCAATAAATTAACAGTCAAACAGGGCTATCAATAAAAAAAAGTGTAGAAAACATTTGAAAATATTCACATCACCTCAGAATAATATCCAGTCACTTCTGGCTTCTCCAGAAATATCAGGCAGCTCAAATCAATCAAGTTCCAGATTCAGATATTGCTTCAATTGAGCACTGTAATCAATGCATCCAAATCTGCACATTTTTCTATTTTTGTAGAAAAAAATTGCAGAACATTACTAAAATAACATTGTCTCCTATGGACTTCTGTATCAAAAATCTTCTAAAATTGAGCCTAATTGACTCGTAGGATTTTCTTCTATGACACCATGCTCAGGGTCCTATGAAAGAGACATTAAAGAATAGAAGCTCCCTACGACCCTCTTGCATGGACTAATACCAACATAGATTGCTTAGGGAAGAAAAGAGAAGAAAAACAATAAGAAAGAAGGGGAAGAGAAGAGACAATTGAGAGCTATCTTAATTAAGTTAGTTGACCAAAATGTGTATATTATAAAACTGAAGTTACAAATCTGCCCTTACACAAGTGTAGATGAACATTAACAAACTCCAATAAGAATAACATAAGGCTGCATTTGGTAGCGGTAAACGCAAATATGTATGGTGGAAATCAATCACGTACGAATTTAGGTGAAAGCAAATGGGGACCAGATTGTCAAACCCATTTGCGCTCATTTCATTTAGTATCAACAATGCAAAGAGGCTCATATTGGGCATTTGAAATGATACAAAAAACAATGGCGGATTATTGGACCCATTTTTTTGTTGCAAGTAGAGGCTGACATGCTCACATTTGCAGTGGTAACTGTTCTTTGCGAATCAGAACTGGGATTCAATGTCTCCAAGTGAAAATTGCCATTTATAGGCATGGGCACGAATCAAGCTTTTCACGAGCTATTCGAGCTAGGCTTGTAAAAGCTCGATTCAGATCAATCTAAACCAAGCTTCAAGCCCAACATATAGGCTCATTTGCTAATTGAGCTGAGCTCAAGCCCAATAAAGCTTTGCTAATGAGGTGCTCGAGCTGAGCACAAGCCCAATAACTAGTTTTTATAATTCTTAAATTTTCTTATGTAAAAAAATATAAGTATAATTTTTTATAGGAAGTTTGGCTCACAATTGAGCTTTTGAGTCGATCCGAATTCGAGCTCAAGCTCAAGCTTGAGTCTCATAGTTTTTTGGCAAGCCAAGCTTAAATAGACAAACATTCAGCTTGGCTCAACTCAATCCACCCATCCCATTTCCAATACGAAATCCAAAGAATGGTTTCCTCGTAGGGTGAAACCCAATCATCCTCTAAAACTGAGCTCCACCATTAAAGTTGTGAATTGAAATGGTTTCCTTGCAGGATGAAAGGCTTTAGAGCGCCACAGCTCAATCTCTCGATGCCCGTCTCTATTTTCGTATTAGATTATGACCCAAAAGGGATGAGAATGAGAGAGAGAGAGAGAGAGTACACTAAACCAAAACCAGAATATTGTTCTTACCTTGGTCGTCGATGGTATGGAAGGCAAATGTGAGGTGAACGTTGTATCGTATCCGGTGGGAAGAGAGGAGATGGAACAAGTCTTTAGTCTTTACTACGATGGAGAAGAAGGGAAAGTTTTAGATCAATTGTAAGCTTCCCACCGATACATCGATTTTCAGGGTAAAAAGTGACATGAATGGAGTTTTACACTGATTTATGAACAAGGTTATAAGAAGCTAAAAGCATAGTTGAGGCGTACTGGCCCAAAAAGGCGAGGTGTAAGCCTTAAAGTTTAAGAAAAAAATAATTAAAGTTTGTAAATTGATGAAAATAACATATAATATACTAAATTAAAATTATAGTAGGTACGCATATCTATAAACTAGAAGTTTATAAGCAATAAGTTTTGGCATTTAAGCATTAAATAAAATAATAATAACTAATCAACTAATAATTATAAATATTTTATATTTCATGTAAAGATATTATTATTATTATGAAAAAAATCAATTAGGAGAAGAACTGAGAAAAATAACAAACTTGGGACGTGTAGAATAATAAGAAAAATCTTGTTTGATTATTAAAAGGAAACTAAGAACCTCATTAGTCCTTTTTGTATTGAACTATCTTAACACTACGAAAAACTAATAGAATTTGATTTGCCTTATTAGTTTTTCACTTTTACTTTTTTATTTGGTCCATATTTATTGAAGTGTTTTTTCTATACTTTTAATTATAAAAAATACATATTTTTTGCATTAAATCACTAATTAATCATTGATATTTGAGGCTTAAGCTTTTTAAAACAATGTTTATGAGGTAAATTAATACCTCTACCAAACACCTGCAAAACAAGACCGAATGCAATATAACACCGGTTTGGAGTTTAGACCGCAAATAAACGCAGCCTAAGGAAATATTTGGTTGACATTTCTATAAGTTCCACTTCAGGGAAGGGAATATATTAAATGAAAGAAATCATTTTTTTATCAATAACTGTGAGAAATTCTATTTGATCGACCATGTACAACAATTTCTTTTGCACCCTGGATTGGACTTGTCCCACTAGCCACCCCTCCTCTCTTCTTTGTTCCTCTTAGAGAACCAACCCCCAATGCACGAACTTTCAATTACTAACCCTCCTTTTGCTAGCTCATCAGCCAAATAGACCTTGAGATCCGAATTGTAATTTGTATTCATTAAATGCAAAGAAATAGTTGATTATACGATGTAAAGAAGCCTATAGAAGATAAATCTTATGTATCCTCTTTAACTTACGGAGAAAATTTCCCATCCACCAACTTGAATCGTCCAGTTTCATATACACGAATAGGAATGCCTTCCCATATCTACAAAAAAATCATAATACCAAGACATCAAAAACAAGAAGTACAAAGAACAATAAAACCTTATAAAAGAGTTTTAACATCCAGAAACTTACATCCCAAAGGATAGTTTTTCCATCATACCCAGCACTCATAGCCATTCGTGGGTTGAAAGGATGTACATCCAGAACGTAAGTCTACCAAGAATATAAGAAGGAAATAGTCAGAAATAAATATCCTCTGAATTTAAAAAAAAAAAAGAAAAGGTTGTAAGAGAATTCACAAACCAAAACAAATTATCTTAAAAAGATAATGTAAGCAATGAAATGAGCAACACAAAATGGACCTACCACTAACAGAATTGAATTAAAAACTTATTAACATCTTCTCCATTTGTGTTAAGAGAGAAGGAAAGGGATATAATGATAAAGGAAAATAGAAACATAAAGAACATAGCACAACTACATGCAATTAGAGAAAAAAAATTGAAGGACAATGTAAAAGAAGGGAAGGGGGAGAAGTCAAGGATGAATAAGGGGAAGCGGGCCATATCCATAGTTCCAAACAACTTTGGGTAGCATTTATCTTAGGGAAGGAGAGCAATTAAGATTCTATATCTAGCAAATTACAACTTATGGATTAACACTATGGATGCAAGTCAGATCGGGCTGAGGTCAACCCTGACCCAACCCAATTGTTGAACCCCTCAACCCTTAAACTTTGCGTTGGGTTAGGATCAGGTTGGGTTCAGGTTGGCCCGACTTCTCTACTTCCTTTTGCCAAATGTACCTATTTCCTACACTCTTAAGGGTTTATGTTAATTCAATATTAGCATTATTATGTGTAAAAGAATACAGTACCATGTTTTAGAAAAAAATTACCCTTAAACTTAAAATTTTTGACATACAAAATACATGCATAAATATATAGATAGATAAATACATAAATACTTGCAACGAAAAAAAATACAAAAATATATAGATATACACATTTATGGATGCTGCATGAAACACATACTCTTCCACCCTAACCCAAACTTCAAACCAAGCCAACTATTTGGGATGGGTTCAGAATATATTTGTCTCTATGAAAAGAGAAGTAAGAGCAGCAACACAAGAGAAGAAGATGGCGAAAAGAGAAGGAAGAARAAGAAGWATYRAATTMTCTTCCCTTTCTCCTCTAATCCTTTTTTTATTAAGAATTAAAGTTAGAGTAATGACAAGTATGCCCTTAAGTGGGCGGCCAGCTAGGCAGTAACCTAAAG